AATAGGGTAGAATTCTTGATATTATAATGGATTTTGCCCTTCTAAAACCCAAGAGAAATTTATATTCTTCCCAATTAATTTCTTTTGGGTTTTGTTAGTTTTTATATGTATTGCATTGACATAGTAAATTTGAATACCAAATGAATGCAAAATAAAACCTGTAAATGTTTGGTTAATAGTAATAAATAGTATTATTTGGTAAATAATAATAAACGGCTATGCTTTAGAAGCATTTTTCTTGCCTGACTGTGCAACTTCAGCCATATCACGAAACGTGGCAAATCAGACATGGCTCCTACTCATGATCATTCATCTATCTGTTAATGATTCTTAGATTCCACATGCTATTCTAAGTATTACATAAATATTCATTCTTTTATTCCATCTTTTTTATACCTCTGTAGTTTCTATTTATATAGAAACAAAATACCTCCCTGATCATAAAAAGTCAGATAGCGGCAGACCTAAATTCAGATTCATACCTAGCTTACTCTCAATTTCAGACTTGTTTGTTGAAACTTCTTGACCTCATACAGGGCATAGCATAGTAGTTAAGAAAACAAATTGTGATGAAAACATGGATAAAAACATCCTAAATACTTGAAATGTAGCAGACAAGTAAGTTGTTATACTCAACAAGCAATTGTTCATCAGTGCAGAGCATTACTAAGCTCCCACCCCCCTCTTTGGAGTGCTCTGCGTACCTTATCTGTAAAATAACATTAATATCACTGACCTCACATTTGATTTAGAAGCATTATACTCAAATAGGAATATTTTCATTAGCTCAATTACTTTTGAGTGTTATTAACTGAATATTATAGAGGATATAAGCCCATAACCTGAAATATTCTCACAATCTAGCTTCACAAGCAACCATTATGGACCCTGATATAGCCATGCAAGGACTCGGAGAATGTAGTAATTGCTCTGAGCATTCAGGAAGCAAAGGTGGCTGCGATATTTTGATGAGACAAATGCAGGAGAAAGACCTTTACCTGAACTCTGAGAAATGGATAGCACTTGCAGAGGCAGAAAACAAAGAGAACTTATTTCAAGGCAGGGCCAGAAGAGAAACAAGATACAGAGCAGGAAATGAGCTGGCTGTTCAGGGAATCAGACTTTGTGCAAGACACTTGGTGAATAATGGGAGACAAAATGAGAAAGTAAATGTAAGGCTATTAGTAGACAAAGATGGTGAAATATTTGTGCTTAATGTTTTAAGCGGTAAACAGTCACTATTCTGGCCAGAGGAATGAAATGAAGCCCTTAAAAGCTTGTCTATAGAAAACAAGGGAGAGAGTAACATTGTTCAAAAATAAATGTACTCATTACCTTACTTAGGTAGTTGTAACCCTTCTGTATATCACCTTCACAAGAAAAAAACGCTTTCTATGACATTATACAGGAGTAACACTGACAACTAGACAACTGGTTTGCTAGAAATGACTCGTATCAGGAATACAATGTGGAATGAAGTGGATGCAGGAAGGAAGGATGAAAATGAAATATAAGGTGGAAAAGACAGCTCACCCTCCCCTAAATAATAAGAAGTATTTTGATAGCCTAAGACAAGAACTAGTGTGATGTCAAAGCCCTCAAAAACACTGTCATGAATAATGATAAAAATGAAAAAAAAACATCTTGGCTTCCTGTTCTTATATCTGAGGTGATTGCATGGAAATGTAAGTTTATATAAAACAGAAGAATACATTTGGAGTCAGGAGGGCCAAGGAGGAGGGTAAATGAGGATGAATATGGTCAAAATGTGCTTCATGTGCATACATGAAAATGAAACCTGACTAGCCATACAACAGACAAGGGTCTCATATCTAATATATATATATATATATATATATATGTATATATATATATATATATATAAATGAAATATACCTGGAACTCAAAATATTAAATCCCCAACAACAAATCCTCAAAGAAACAACTGCCCAATAAATAAGTGGACTAAAGATTTAAAGAGAAACTTCTCTGAAGAGGAAAGAAGGATGGCCAATAGACACATGAAGAAATGCTCAAACTCCCTAGCCATAAAAGAAATGCAAATCAAAACAACATTGAGATACCACCTCACCCCAGTTAGAATGGCTATAATCAAGAACTCAACAACAGATGCTGGAGGGGATATGGACAGAAGGGAACCTTACTTCATTGTTGGTGGGAGTGTAAACTTGTTCAACCACTTTGGAAAGTAGTATGGAAGTTCCTCAAAAGACTTCACATAGAGCTCCCCTATGACCCAGCAATCCCACTTTTGGGCATTTACACAAACAAGACCATACTAAAGCTATCAGCACAACTGAGTTTATCGCAGCCTTATTTACCATAGTTGAGATATGGAACCAACTCAGATGCCCCTCAGTAGATGAATGGATCAAGAAAATGTGGTATATATACACAATGGAATTCTATGCCTCCATTAGAAAGAATGACATTGCCCCATTTGTTAGGAAATGGAAAGACTTTAAAAAAAATTATACTAAGTGAAGTAAACCAGGCCCAAAGAAACATAGGTCCCATGCTTTCCTTTATTTGCAACAACTAGTATATGTCTGAGACAAGCAGAAACGGTCAGATAAGTTGATGTTAGGCGAAATGAACCCCAAGATAAGGATTCAAATGTTTTTTCTTTCTTGTGATTGTTTCTAGCATAGTTATAAGATGATTTCTTTGTTGCTTTGTATGTCCCTCCCCCATGGTATAACCCGTTTTCACCGTATTTGATGTTTTGTAGAGGGGAAGGAAAAAAAACAAATTGTTTAAATAGGGATACAACAATGAGATGTACAAGACATTATGTCAAAAAATGAACTTTACAACTTTGTGGGTAGGGGGAAGGAGGCAGGGCGGCAGATGGGAAGGGATGAGAGGGGGAAACAAAGGAAGAGGCAACAATGCTTGATAAGAAATGTACTCATTACTTTGCCCATGTAATTGTAACCCCTCTGTATGGTATTTTCACAATTAAAAAAAGAGATATATAAAATTAAATTAAAAAAAGAAAATTAACCCTGTTGATATTATTATTATTATTATTATTATTTTTTAGTTGGTTGTGGGGCTTTAACTCTGGGTCTGGGCACTGTCCCTGAGCTTTTCAGCTCAAGGCTATTGCTCTACCACTTGAGACACAGCTCTACTTCCAGTTTTCTGGTGGTTGATCAGAGATAGGAGTCTCATGGATGTTCCTGCCAGGGCTGGCTTTGAACTGCGAACCTCAGATCTCAGCCTCTTGAGTAGCTAGGATGACAAGCATGAAGTCCAGGCGCCCAGCCCAGTTGATATTTTTTTAAGAAGGGGGAAAGGATGAGCAGTGGAAAGAGAAGGGATGAGTGAAGAGTTTATAGGATGTATATCTAGAAATGTCACAATGAAATTGCCTTTGTCAATTAATACTTGCTTATGAAAATCTTATTTTAATATAAGAATATGGTTAGGACCTTGAAATGTAATTTTGGAAACCACGAGAATAGAGACATGGCTCAAGCTCTCAGAAGAGTCGTCTGGCATAGTGAAGAGAACTCTTCAGAAATGGTTCAAACTACCTTCTCTTTATTTTAGGTGGTCATTGTCTTCCTGTGTCAGTATGAAGCAATTCACTGGTGTCTGAAAGACCTCTTCTTCATGTCAGGGAGGACAGATCTCTGTCAATTAAGTTAAGCTATCCTCCAGTATCCCTTAAGGTATTCCTGAGTGCAGCTTCTTACCTCCTAAACTAAGAACAATGATGATATCAAGAGATTCAATAGGGGAAAAATTAGGATATGATGTTTACTGTCAAGTCTCCTAAAGGGCAAAGTTGCCTTAACATTTTTCTTTGCAATATAGATGCCTTTCCATCAATTAGTTACACTTGCATTAGAAATATTTATGAATGCTTCATTCATATATACACTCTCTATATATACTAGGAATGCTTAAAGAAAAAAGGCTTGAGTTGTATCTCTAATCTTAGACTAAAATGGTAATGTATAATAAATCAGTCCAAGTTCTTCCCAGGGTCAGGATGTGATGTTTTATGCAGTTCCTTCTCTCTGAGCAAATACAGGTATTTTACAAATTAAAAAATGAGATGGGGAACAACTTGAATAATACATGATAATCTGTTAATTTGAAGTATTATGATGAGAAAGTTCTTTCAAGTAATTAAGCACTATTTCAATAGCGCAATTTGTGCTGAAAGAAGAAACAAGGATGTCTATTTCAATTGTATTATAATTATAGATAATTATACATGTAAGTAAGGTAACCGAATGTTAATCAGTGTCAAGTTATTTATATTACTTTTTGCTCTAGGTTTAAATCTTATTGAGGTTTAATTATTTCTTAATTTATTATTGCTTCATTGGCAGTACAGGGGTTAGGCAGGCATTGTACCATCACTGTCCCACACCCCCAGTAAGACTTTTAAAATTTAACATTGTTATATGAGTTGGTAACTCCTACTTTCATGAATATTTATCCATGTGGTCAATCTACCTAATAGTGTGAGCAGCGATAAGATGTTATTCCTTAGGATACTTTTTTATATTGTGATATATCTGGCTTATATAATGGATTTCTAATTCCCTGTTTCTGTTTATTTATTTTTATGATGGTACAGGGATTTAAACACTGGGCCTGGGAGCTATCCCTGTGTGTTTTGCTGAAAGCAAACACTCTAGCACTTAACCCACAGCTCCATTGGAGCTTTTGGTAGTTAATTGGAGATAAAGTCTTACAGACTTTACTGCCCAGGATGTTTTCCAACTACAATCCTCAGATCTCAGCCTCCTGAGTAGCTAGGCTGTGAGCCAACTAGTACCTGGCTTCAGTTTAGTTTTCGTAGCATAGTATGCATTTTCATGTCATTCTTATATATATATATATTCAATGCAAAGCACAGCAAATTTTACAGAACTTCTTTTAATAAGCTTGGGTTTACTTGAACATAATTTTATATTAGTAGAGGATACAGAAAAAAACATTTAATTCATACTCACTGTGGTAATGTTGCTGGCAGGGAGCGTCTAATAATTGAGTGAACTTGTCTGTAAACATCCAGTTTAGACATGCATCGGCAGGAAGTATGATTGGCAAAACTGACTGTTACTGGTTTGGGGCCTTGAGAAAGAGGCACTGTAATTTCAAACAACTACAAAGAAGGGACAAAAAGAAGAAAGAAATTATATAGATGCTGTAAAGCACTTCTTATGGTAAATTTCGGAGGCCAAAAAAGTGAGACTAGCTCTATATGAAAAGGCAGTGCTGGGAAACACTGGCAGACATGACTTGTATACATAGTTTTAAAGTAAACCTGCTTTACTCCCAAAACACTATCTTTTATCAGAATAATGAATAGTTTATGTGCTTATCTCATGTCACTATTTCTGAGGCCTTTTAGAATGACGACAACCAACAATTCCAGAACAGCAATGTGACACACCAATGTGTTTGAGAAGAGAAAATTGTGTCCGAGTTCTCAATTACTTAACATGGAAGTGTAAAATATTCCTGCAATTTTTAAGGAGGCACGAATCATCTGTAGTAAACATCTTTGTGATTCATGAGCAAAGCTCTTGGCTGTACATCCTAGAAATGCTTGGTGAAGTCCTATTTATGTACACTGAACACACAGACATAAATTACACACGTATAAAATTAATTTTCATTCCAAATTAAATTTCTCCAGGAGCGCAGTTTTACATGTCTCAGATCTCTTGTGAATTTATTGTGTTTAAAAGAAAAGCAGGCACATTTGTTATTTCATAGATAAAGCGGTGTTTTTATAATTTTGGCAGAGGCCTTATAAAAATGAAGCAGGACATTTTATATGATTCTAGTCTTAAAGTATTGTTTAACTAAGGTCTCAGTCTGAATGACTTATTTATGGAGAACTTTAGTCTTCCTCCAATATATAATGTTTTGAATCAACTGTACAAATTATTGCTTCAGTAAAGGTAAGTGGATTTAAATTTCTAAGGATAACACCAAATTATTGTGTGGGGGGGGACTGGTAAATGTGAACCCCTTGTGAATTAGGTGCTTGATAAAATCAATTTAAAGAAACCTAACACTAGCTGAGCTATTTGGTATCTTTAGGCAAGCTGAGCAGAGTTGCAAAGGGTGACTCATTTTAGAGTCTTGAAAATTGACCCCTGTCTATAATTTCGTGCCACCACATGAAGATCACTGAAATTACCCAAGGGAGACTTTCCAAATGAATTTTAAACAATAAAATGATGTTACTGGCAGTAACCTGAATGCATTGTGTGAAATGAAGTAGAGCAGACAAAGAATGACATGTGCTACATGACCTCACATAAAAGGACAATGTTAAAGAATTGCTTTGATTAAAATGAAGAGTAGAATGGCAGCTACCAGAAGCTGGGGAGAGAGAGGAGGAGGAGGAATGAGGAAGAGGTTGGGCATTGGGAGGAATGAGTGGTAGACAGGTAAAGCAAGAAGTTCGAGTGTACTTTTGCACAGGTGGGCAAGTTACAGGTATTGACTGTGTACTCTTTATCACAAAGAGTTGGAAATATTGTGAGCATTTTTGCCTTATAGAAATAACATATATTTGAGAAGAGGTATGTTTAACCTTTTTGTACTATGTGTATTTATTAAAACATTTAATGTACACAATTGACATGTATAGTTTTTAATATATCCATTATTGTAAATGTAATTAGTGACAAACTAGCACATATCAAATTTATAATATGCATATCTTCCTGGAAATATATTCATTAAAGATTCAACTAATTTCTTAGCCTAAGGACATGTTTCAGGAGATAGAGGCACAGAATATAAATGTACCCAGACAGGGTGCTTTTCTTGGTCCTCACATTTACAAACAGTATTAATTTGAAAAGTAACTTAATTCTCAAGGCTGTATTTCCTTTAATAATTAGTAAACTGATAACAACTGATTCATTACTTCATGAGATATTATAAAGTTGATATAACCTAATGAATGTAAAATGCATATGGTTTGCTATCCATTTGAGTTATTTGAAAAATTCTTACAATTATAGTTATTTCCCAGAATGTTGTCTATTCTACATACATGACTTCAGTGTATGATCTCAATCTATGCCAGAATTATGATTCTGTAGATTATCAATATACTTTTTTTTAATGTTTCATGGATAAAAACCTGTTAAGTTCCCACATTTTAAGGAGATCTATGAGCCTAACATTAAGAGCTATCACTATGGAAGATATACAAGATGTTTTATAAAATAAGAAATTTCTAATACATTTGTAAATTATTTAATTTTATGGTAACATGACTTGAACTCAGACTTGAACATTCTGGGCAAATGTTCAACCATGGTGCTACATCCTTAACCCCTTCAAGTTTGTGCAATTTATTATTTGTATTACTTATACTTTGAAATAGTATAAATAATGGAATGATGTACAAAGCAGAAAAATCTTAAGAATAGATGTCTAATAGCAGCTAGATATATGTTCCTACAGCTACAGGAAACACATACAAGTTTTTAATACGTAAGTTATAATTGAAGTGTTAAGCATTAATGAGATTACTTGAGATTAATTTGTATTAATCTTTTGGAAGAAATACAAATTATGATAACACAAATTAAATAACAGAAACACTTAAGAGGTAAAAGGAGGTAAATAACCTACTGATATATCTGGGAAAATATAACATGACAATGGAAAGCCAGAAAGAAATATTACGAAGACAGGAAACCCCAAATATATAAAGATGAGCTACTAAAACCACATGTGTCCAATGTTTTTGTGAAACTAAATAGAGTAGGAATTGAGTGGATACAAGAAGTAACAGCAGTGTCTCTAAGGACTGTGGGGAGGCAAGGACTGTAAAGGAGGATGAGAAACAGGAACCAAGGAACAAGAAGAGCTGCCCACGTGACTGGGGAAAGGGTCCAGATAGCTAGGAGCACCAGAAAGTTTTACTTAACGATTTGGCATTGTCTCATGGGACGGAGGCAGCACAACAGCCTGACAAAGAAGAAGAAAGAGCTCTTATAGATAACAGCTACCCACAAGAATTGATGTGTTCCCTCCCTCAACTTATGGCACCCATACCTGTCATTCCAAGGTCCATGCTGGTCTGTTTTCCAGGGGAGAAAGAAGCCACAATAACAATATTTTTGATTGTAAAGAAACACCAACCAGGCATGGATAATATAATACATACAATCACAATCTGCTTGTGAGTACTACATATATATTTAGAAAAGGGGTCTTTGAAGAATGCTCTGGTAAGTGGAGAATGACTACTGACACAACATGATGCATCTTCATGGTAAAACAAGGAAACACTTTCACAGGTGGGTAGCGACTGATATTGGTAAGTACCCCAAGTAACAGCATACTGAGCCTGAGGAAGTGGCATTAAAATAAATCACCACTTACAGTGAAGGGGTTTTCAACAGCACTAGCAAGGTCCAAGAGAAAAATGTATTATTTTTCCCTAGTCAGATAATAAGTGTGTAGAACATATGAACTATTTTTAATTAATAAACTAAAAGTACATTTTTTTCCAGATTCTTTAAGGTGATTAAGTGATTACATTTTTCCCCAAATTTCACAGTATTGTGGGATAGTGATGCTTAGTTAAAGTCACAAACACATTCTAACTTTCAAATTGTCTATCATGGTCTATAACATTTATGAGTTCTATGAGCTTTGCAATACAGTTCTTTCTTCCACATTGGGTGATACGTACATTTCTTTTGTTTTACATAGCGTCAGCTGTTCCCTCTTTCCCACTTGTTCCCTCTCTCCCATCGCTGCCATTGAGGTGCTTAGTTCATTTTGGTCAATGTCCAGTGCAGCTGATGGGTAGCACTGTTATATGTTTTTCCCTGATTCCCTCTAGTTCTGTGTCGTCCTCCTGGTTTCCCTCCGGTGTGCACATATATACCATACATGTGATCAGTAGCATGCGGTTATTTAGTAGTGATTTGGCCAGATGAGTGGAAATCCTTTGTTTCTTAAGCCTTGTTAATTTTGTTGTATCACCTTATGTTTTGGATTTAACATCCTCTTATCAAGGAGACCATGTGCCGTTTGTCTCTTTGCTCTTGGCTTACCTCGCTCAACATGATTTCTTCTAGCTCTATCTAAAAGTACATTTTAACATTGCAAATATCTTTTTCCTGGGAATTTTTTGTTTGTTTTTGTTGTTGTTGTTTGTTGTTGATGATCGTGAGGCTTGAGTTCTGGGCCTGGGCACTGTCCCTCAGCTCTTCAGCTCAATGCTAGTGCCCTACCATTTGACCCACAGTGCCACTTCCGCAAATATCTTTTTCAAAATAACACAGGCTTTCAAATAACTGGCAACTTCCCTTCTTGGTTATTCCCTACTAAGTGTAAGAATAACCTAGAGCTGTTTTAAGAAACAGACATTTTGCAAATACCCTGTATCTACAATTTACTCTTCTATAACTTTAAGAACTCATTTAACTCCTCTAAGCCTCCAACTCCTGATCTATACAATAGAGACAATGATTATGGTGGTTTCATTGTGTGGACTGGGTTCCTCCTTTTCCTCCTCCTCTTTACTCCAACACTATAATCAGCCAAGATTTAGATGAATTTTTGCTCATGCAATTTGTGTCATAAAATTTACGTTTAACACCTAACTTTGTTTAGTCTTTCAATAATATATATTTATGCATACATATGTATGTATTTAAGTGTATGTATATGATATGTATCTATGAATCTTGGATTCTCAGGATAATATTCATCAATAGTGATTCCTACTCTTGTGCAGCACAAAGTTAACAGTACTGATGAAGTGAATGACAGTGAATGAGAACACACAAACATACACACACGTTCACACACACACAAATACATGAGATTATGTAAGAATTGCTAAAATACCACTTAGTTTGCCACAAATGCTATTAGCAAGCAAAAACCTGTAGTTTAAATTCTACTGAAATCTGTCCTTGCATATATGAATCTATAAAAATAAATCCACTTCTATATAACTAATGAAATACAATTATAAAATTTAATCCATATTCTAGAAAATTAAGAAAATTCAGCAAGGGCTGGGAAGGTGGCTCAGTAGTAGAGTGCTTGCCTTGCATACATGTAGCCCTGGGTTAGATTCCTCAGCACCACATAAGCAGAAAAAATAAA